GGGGCAGCTGCGCTGCCTGTCTGTTGGGAAGAGCCCCTGATCCCCTCCCTGGCGGGAGCAGGGGTGCGGGAGGCAGGGGTCCGTGCTAGGGTATAGGATTTGGCAGGGATCTTGAGGAAAACAGCTGTGTGACCTGTCCTGATGGCTTCTTCATTCTGTTCTGCAGATTCATTTGTGAACAGCCAGGAATGGACCCTGAGTCGCTCAGTGCCTGAGCTGAAAGTGGTGAGTACTTGTGACTTGGGCACTCCCGGTTCTCTGTTGTGTCTCTAAATCCCTAAGAAAAACCCATGTCTTAATGTGGCTGACTTAACCTGCATAGGGGCTTCAGCCTCGCAAAGGGGGAAGAGGAGCTCAGGCTGCCATAGTGATGGGGAAAGGAGAGGCCTTCTCGGTGGCTTACGCTTCTAAGGGAGAGGATGTTGGTCTGAGAGTACGCTCAGATGTGAAGGTCAAAGGGCAGTATTTTGACCTCCTTAGCCTTCCTGCTGGCCATAGCAGAGCAGTAATTCCCTGGCCCGGTACTGCTGTGTTGGCCAGACCTTCTGTAGCAGGAGTGGGTTTGTCAGAGGCAGGTCCGGAGTGGTGTTACTGGCATAACACAGTGGTTGGTCACTGCCCACACTCAGGCCAGCCATCCAAGCTTGGGAGATAACTACGTGGAGAAGAGCATCACCTCTTGCTTTGAGCCTCGTTGACTTCAGCTCCACACTGGTGCTTCCCTTGCCTCTACTGGCCACCTCCAAGACACAGTCACCGCATGGTAGGCCTTTGGTGGAGTGATGCTGGCAGACTGAAACCGTCAGCCCTGATGCTTTGTTCTGTTAAACAGAGTGGATCCAACTCCTCCAGTTTGTCAGCACAGGGCGGGTTTTCCAGACCATGCCATTACCAAGCTTCATCATTCTACTTGTGGGGTAAACATCAGAAACGGATATGGCATCTAGCAATGGGTCTCCTGCTGCTTCTGCTTCAGCCCCCTCTGACACAGCCCTGCTCACCCTAGAGTACAGTCATGGGTGACGGGGGACCTGATCGCAGAGTGCAGCACCTCCAAAACAGGAGACTTTCCTTAGCACCTGCCCTTGCTGATTACCTCATGCCAGCTCGTTGAGGCCTTCCACGAGCTGATTCAGCTCACTGATCCAGCAGAGATGGGGACAGTGTTCTGCTCAGGCAGAATCAGCTGAGGAGCGCTAGTGTTCATGCAATGGTTGGGGCCAGGATCTGTGCCGGTGGTCAAGGGAGGAAGCAAGACCTCCTTTTGATGGCAGCGAGCTCTCTGGTTGGTTCAGCCACCCATGAAAATGCACCCTCAGCTGCAATGTTGTGCTAACAAATGAGTGCTGTGGGGGTAGAGCTCTAGGGACCTCTGGGGTGGCAGGACACCTCTGGCGTTTCCAAATATGTTTGTCTGGCTTGTTCTTAAGAACCTCAGCAATCCATTCTAGTGATTCACTCTCCTTAAGCTCTTTGTGCCAGTCTGTAACTTTTTTTGGAGACTGCTGGCATGTCTCCCTTCAGCCCTTTTAAGGTTAATTTTTTCAGGCTTAATCTGAGAATCGAGAAGCCTTTTTGCAAAAAATAGAAGGACGATGCTGCCACAGTTTTTCTTATTTACAGTTAAACAAAATTTAAATCAGACTTAGAATCTTCATTGGTTAGTTTTATATCTGTTTTGTTTGTTTCTTGGCTTGCGTGCCTATTCAAAAATATTCTTGCAGTTATTCTGTTTATTGCTTTCTGACATTTTAACAGTCTACAGGCTGCAAAGCAGTGCTGCAAGCTAAACCAACCTGAAGCTTTTAGTTGTTCCTCAATGAACAAAACCTTTCCTACATTTTTTTTGACCTCTGGGGACCTCTGTTGCTCCCAGGTTTTATCCAACTGATACAGTTCTTTCTAAAAATCTTGAGGCTTTTCAAAGTACTGATTTGGTTAATGCCTTGCTGGGTTGGAACCTTTTCTGTCGTAATGAAACACTTCGCTGGGATTATTCTGCAGCAGCTGACTGCAGCAGAGGACCCTGTGCTTGGGAAGGCAGAGCTCTTGTCTGTGGAGTAATTCAGAATTTCTTCTCTCTACTGCTACTTAAAGGAAGGAAGTGGCACAATGGTAGAGCTGGTCCTACCTGCTCTCCGGAGACAACAGTCAGCATGGGGTTCACGTGCTCTGGTAAATGCCGAGCTCTGTGTCTGAACAACGAAGGCTGCACAGTTGCTCTGAGCTTTCCGGTTGGGTATCTAGCGGGGTTAGTTCAGCGCGGACGCTGCCACGGCCCTGGCTGCCTGCGGATATGTCGGCCGTGTGTTGCCTCTCTGGGGTTTTCTGTAGTTGTTCCCATCTCTCCTGGGAGCTCCAGTGGGGCGGCCATCCCCACCAGCACGGGGCCCTGCTCTTCTCTCCAGGCCTTCCCAGATGGATTACATTTGAGTGAGCATCCTGAATTACCACAAACTGACAGTGGTGCAGAAGGAATCCC